GGCAGGGTCTTGCTATGTAGTTCTGGCTGGCCTTGAGCTCATAGCGATCCTCCTGCCTCAGCCTCCTGAGTGTTGGGACTACAGGCATGCACCACTATGCTGGGCTTGCTTGGATGCCCTCTCCCTGTTTGCCCCTCAGGCCCTCTAATGTCTGCCTTCCCAACAGGAGGAAGACTCACAGGTGGACCAAATCACAATCAGATCCTGGAAGCTGGGCAATGCAGCCACTGAGGCAGAAGAGAGAGGGGGAAGGGAGAAAGAAGTGGGGTGGTTGGGGTGCATGGGTGGGAGGTGTGGAGAGAGAGAGCGAGGTCCTCAGGCAAGACCCCCAACCCAGCTCTGCAGAGGAGGAAGAGTAGGAGGAGTTTCTGTCCCCCAATACTGTAAATCCATGTCCTCCTCTCCAGCCACTGCCCGCCTCTCTGGCCGACTCATTTCTGCCTTTTAGCTGTTCTCCAGCACCAGCCCAGGATGTATGTTTTCCTCTTCTTTCCCCCAGAGGTTGCAGCACCTTAGGGCAGCTCCTGTTGTTGTTCCCTCTCCCAGCCGTCACCCCCCACCCCCCAAGACACACAGGGACACTCCTGGATCCGGGGAGAAAGCAGGTGAGAAGTGGCCTGGCCAAGCCCAGGGAGGCAGGGAAGGGTGACAGCCTGCTGGCCAGGGCGAGCTGGCGCTGGGTCCCCGCCATGGGCTTCCTCCGCTCCTCGCAGCCCACTCCCTTCAGAGCAAACACTTGGTAGCAGTGAGGGGACAGAAGGTCACTGAGGTGCTGAGAAATGCCAGCTGCCTGAGGGGAACCTGAGCCCAGAAGCCCAGATGACTCAACTGCTGTCAGGTCGCCAGGGGCCTCTGTCCAACCCGCCCGGGGCCTCTCCCTCCCCTACCCCAGGGAGCGTGCACCGTGCACCGGAAGGGACTCTGGTCCCCCAGGGGTAGTGAGAGGGCCACAGTTTCCTTTAGAAATGCTGAGTCACGGGTGTGGCGGCTGCTCCGACTGTGGCTGCTAAATCTTCACACTGGGAAGTCTGGAGAGAATGCAGAGTCCGGGTCCCCCCACCCCTGCGGGTGTGCTAAAGCTTTGGGAGCTGAACCTCAGATCCTGGGCCTCCTGACATGCTGCGTGGCCCAGGCTCTGGACATTCCTGTCTTCTCTTTCCTGTTCCACTTGGAAACTTGGCCCTGAGAGGGGCGGGTCAGGGATTTTTTTTTTTTATGGGGGAACAAGGTCCCACTGTGTAGTTCAGGCTGGCTTTGGACTCATTGCATAGCCCAGGCTGGAGATCCTCTGTCTCAGCCTCCCAAGTGCTGGGATTACAGGCATGTGCCACCACACCCAGCTTCGGGGATGGGTCCTGGTGACCAGTATATATAAGAAGTGCTGAGGGCCGGGGATGTAGCTCAGTGGTGCTGCACCTGCCTGGCAAGTGCAAGGTCCTGAGTTCGACTCTTGGTACTGAATGGGGGAGGGAGAAGGGCTGTACATGTTTGTTGAATGAATAAATGAGTAAAATATGAACCGGAGAGAGAAAAGGAGGTGGAAATTGAGATTGGGCAGAGGCTGGGTATCAGCATGGATATGTGAGATTTAAAGGGGTTCTGGGTCTTGGGACAGAAAATGTCTTGGATGGGGCTCTTGGGGCCACTTCGGACTCAGTCTCATGGAGGGGGGGACCTATAAACCCAGCTCCGGAGGCTGACAGCACCAAGGCCACAGGGATTTGGGCCAGGGCAGGGCCTATTTGTCTCCAAGTCAGGTTCTTCTGGCCCTGCCCGGCCCCCGGGGGGACTTAGAGAGGCAGCTTTTCCTGGATAAAGACTGTCAGGCCTGACTCCAGCTCAGAAACCAGTTAGACCTGGCCGGGCTCTGCCTTGGTGGCTGCCCGGCCCCAGAGCCTCTCCCAACCTATCCTCTATTTCCCCTATTCTCCCTTACCTACCAGCCTCCCGGATGCCCAGCCTCTTAAAAAGGAAGCATTTGTTCTCTGTCTTCACCTTTGGAGACCCCGGCTTTTCTTCTCATTCTTTACTTACACCCGCATTCCCAGGGCTGGGAGCCCAGGGTCCCCTCTGTTTGTTTTTGTGGCACAGCACCAAGCAATAGGTGCTCAGGTACAAAACTCTAGGCAGCCTGGGAGCTGTGTGGCTGCACTCAGGGGTGTATGCCTGTGATCCCAGCTACTCAGGGGGCTGAGGCAGGAGGGTCTCAAGTTTGAGCCCAACCTGGGGGCAGTTTAGCCACTTAGCAAGAGCTTGTCTCAGAGTAAAATATAAAAAGGGCTGGGGATGTAGCTCAGTGTGAAGGCCCTGCATTCAGTCCCCAGTGCCACGAAGAGAAAAGTGGCTTGTGGGTTTTCTTTTTGTGCCTATTAGCCGAGTACAAAGTGTTTGCTATTTGACCTTCATTTAATCTCGAGAATGCTGAAAGACTGAAGTAGGCTCTAAGCCAAACTAAAATCAAGTTAGTGGGAAAGACTTGGGGAGCAGGGATCCCCACCAGGAGGGCTCGGGAGCCCCTGGGCTGTTAGCATCAGTTTTCAGAGACGCAAGGACCAGTTCCCTTCAATCACAATTTCCAACCAGATCTGCTTTGGTCTAATTCAGGAGTGAAAAATCCCACATCCATACATAGTCAAGAAAGCTCACAGGCTGTGGACAGCATGTGCCTTCTCACGGATGGCTCTTTTGGGGTGGAGTCTACAAAAATTACATATTCAGTTGTTTAATGTTTCAGCTAAAGGGCAGGGAAAACACCAGGCCATAGGCCAGGGTTCAAGTCAGCAGCTAAGAGGCTTTTTCTTTTTTAAACCTGGTACCAGGCTCAAACTCAGGACCTTATGCCATTGAGCTACATCCCCTGCCCCTAAGATGCTCTTGCTTGGTCGTAACTGAAGCCAGAGGTTGTAGAGATGCCCACCCTGTGCTCATGATGTCCCAGGGTAATTTCAAGTGATGTCACAGGTTGCTCAAAATACAAGTCTACCTTAGTTGAAAACTTACACACACACACACACACACACACACACACACACACACAGCATTAGCTTTGCTAGAAGTTTGTTTAGGGGATGAGAACTATGAAATCAAACAATAGATAGGCATCTCCTATCCAAATGTTTTACTTTACAAAGTAAAAATTATCAAATAAGATAAAATATAAAACACTATTTCTATTTTTTACCAAGGGGAACTTTATTATTAAGAGAAATAATACAAACAGATAGAAACAAATCCTGAAACCTTCCAGCGTTTGACTACAATTGTTTCAGGCTAGTCCTGAACTCACTATGTGGTCCATCCTGGCCTTGAATTCATGTGATCCTCCTGCCTCAGCCTCCTGAGTGCTGGGATTACAGGAATATGCCACCAAGCCTGACTTTGTTTTGGTGTTTTGAGATAGGGTCTTGCTATATAGTCCAGGCTTGTCTTGAACACACTATGTAGCCAGGCTGGCCTTGAACTTGTGGTGCTCCTCCTGCCTTAGCCTTCCCAGTGCTGGGATTTCTTTTTACTTTTTCAAAAATGTGACCATTAGATATTAGACTAAAATTGCTTGTGGGGCTCAGATTTTACTTCTCTTGGGCAGTGTTAATCAAAGAATTCCCAGAACAAATTCCTTACTGTGACCTTGAAGGCCCTACGTGATCTGACCACTGCTAGCTTTCCTGGCCACAGTCTGGACCACAGTCCCCATGATCACCATGGTCCAGGCTCCTTAGCGCTTCTGCCTCTCTAGCTCACCAAGCTCCTTCCTGCCACAAGGATGGTGTCCCACTGTGGCCAATCCTCTAACATTCCCTCCTGGACCTCTACTCAGTTGAATTCTTCCACCATTCAGGCGCCATCCAACTTAGCTATCATCCTCTCAGGACAGCCTTGACTCCTATTTCTAAAACAGCTCTGTCCCTCCCCCCAGGAACACTCCAGACCATTTCCCTATTTCATTTTCCTCAGAACATTTCAGAAATCACCTTGTCAATTTTTGTTTGTTTTATAGTGTATCGTCTAGGTCCTCTTGATGACGGTTTAACCTCTGAGAAAGCAAGGACCTGGTCTATCTTATTCTTTGTACCTCAGTGCCTAGCACAGGACCTGGCATATGATAGGGTACAATAAATATGTGATGCACAAATGAATTGAGAAATACAGAAACATTGAGAAGCCAGGAGTTTGGGAATGACCTGTTAGTTAACTGCTATGTAACAAATCATCCCACAACCTAGTGCCCTGAGAAAGGAAACCAGCTGGCTTTGTACTTGGCCTAGACCCTGGGAACATTGACTTGCTGTCTATTTAACATGACCTCATGCGATTTCTCTGACTGCATCAATATGACTTTATTTTTCCATCTCCTGCCCAGGTAGATGGTTTGGTTCTCCACTAAAGGAACTCCTTGTTACTATTTCAGTAGAAAACATCAACACAGTTTGTACCTTAAGTTTCTTTGACTCCTTTATCTTGAAATCCTCACCTTGCAATTTCCACAGTTTTGGGTCGTTTCACTGCGACTCAACCCAATACCACCCAAGTCCCACTACCCTACACCAAGCGTGGAATCATCTGCTCATCCTGACCTTCCTTTCTCCCTTGGACACACTGCCAATTCCTTGCCAGGTGGCGCTACCCCTCACCAAGAGAGCAGCAATCTCAGCTTCATCTTTTCCGTAGGCTGCTGCTATGGTTTAGATCTAGAATGTCTCCCAAAGCCTCACATGATCAGAGGTGGGGCTTTGGGAGGGTAACGGGATCGTGGGGACACTGTACTCATCAGTGGATTAATGCCTTATTCATTCAAAGCTGACTTGCTATGAGGAAGTGGGCCTGTTCAGAGGCGGGTCCGTGGGGATGTGACCTGGAAGGGTCCATCTCCCTCCCTGGCCCCTTCCTACTCTCTCTCTGCTTCCTGGCCACCATGACCTGAGCAGCTTTCCTCCACCAACCCCTTCCATCGTGCCTTTCTTGCCTTGGAGCCAGCCTACCATGGACTGAAACTGTGAGCCAAAATAAACCTCTCCTCCTTTAAATCTTGAGTGTTGGGTATTTTGTCTGAGTGTGATGAGAAAGTGATTAAGACAGCTGTGTTGGTGATACGTGGGAGCCAGCTTTTGTTAAGCCCCAAACAACTGTGTTGTGGTCTCTCATCATTTTGTAGGGTGACAGAGCTCAGTAGGGCGACTCTTCTGTTCCGGTGATGTTGGTTGTGCTACTGTCATTGTGGGATGCCACCAGCTGCAGCATCCACAGTGACTCCCTCACATGTCTGGTGGCTTGGTGATGATAGCTGGAAGGCTGGGCTCTGCTGGAATGCTGCTCTGGCTGGACTTCTTCTCTGTGGAGTTTTGTTTGTTTTTTGGTACTGGGAATTGAACCCAGATCCTTTTGCTTGGCAATGTTCTACCACTGAGCCACATCTTTGTGTGGCTCCCATACCCTCTTTGTGTGGTCCTGAGGCCATTCCTTCTCCATGTGTTGGGTAACCCCTTGTGGTCTCCCCATCAGTGTGACTGATTCTTAGGTCATGGCTCAGAGCTCCCCAACATGCCAAAGCAAAGCCAGGCCACCTTACATGTTACAGTATCACTAATGCTGCCTTCCATTTGATAAAGCAGTCACAGGGCCAGCTCAGAATTAAGGGGAGGGAGAAAAAACTCTGCCTCTTGCCTATGGGAGTAATACAAATTTGCCTCCTCTTTAATCTACCGGAGAGCTGAACTCAGATGGAGATGCTGGCTCACCATCAGCCATCGTGCTAAGGGGAGAGGGGAAGCAGAGGTCAGGTAGGGCCCAGAAAGTAGGGAGCCTTCCCTTCCCTTCAGTCCTCAAGCAGAAGCCCTGGGGCTCTCAGAAATCCTGCTGCAGGACCTGGGGAGCCACTGCTATGTTCCCAGCAGCCACAACACACCAGGCAGCCTGGGTGGGGTTACTTGGGAAGAAAAGTTACCCATAGTCTTTTGTGCCAGGCTAGCAGCAAGCAACCCAGCATGGACACTGGGGGCACAGGAAGAGCGTGAGAGGGCACACAGAGGGCTGCCCTGAGCTGCACCAATGATCAGGACAACTGGGGAATAATTTCTCCAAGCTGTGGTCAAAGACTGATTTTTAAAAATGCAAATACCTTGGATATAAAAGTAGCACAACTGTGTTTGGAAAATGGCAAAAAAATAAAAAGCATCTCCCACATTCTCTTTCCCTAACACAGCCAGGCGTTCTATTCTGGTCTTACTGGAGAGTGCATGGTCAGGACAGTGTAAGGAGTCCTGTGCAAAGGGGCCCAGCTGGGAGAAAGAGGCTGGGCCAGGGCATTTCCTGGGTCTCCTCAACCCAAACATCCTGGACTCTCACTCCTTGGAAGGCAGGGCTTGGTGGAGCTCTCCTGAAGGAAGCAGTTGCACCAGGGTCTGAGAACAGCCAGGAGGTAGGACAGGGAGGGAGGGAGGGAGGGAGAGAAAGCAGAGACATATGAGGGGTGATGGAGAGGTATGGTGAAGATTTAAATAAAAAACCCCCAAAACCTCATGACAACAAAAGACACATTACCAAGAAAGATGGGATAAGTGTGTATAAAGTGAGAGGGAGCATTCTAAGGGGGATTAGTGGCAATGTGTCTTTTACTATAAATTTTTAAAAATGTAAACATTCATCATACATTTTGATCACTCCCCATGGATCAAACATTTATAGCAATTTCTGTCAAATAAAACCGGGACGCTGTGTCCTTACCCACTGTACTCACCAGATCTGGCACTGTGCAACTTCTGGCTCTTCCCAAAGTCAAAATGACCATGGAGGGGAACATTTTGAATCAGGCACGACAGCACAGCTAAAGACACCCAGGAAAGGGGATACCAGAGCTGCTTCGGAAAGTGGGAAGAATAACAGGATGAGTGTGTTGGAAGTGAGGGGAGGATTCTGAGGGGGATTCATGGCAATGGGTCTTTCACTGCAATAAAATAACACATTTACCGTCATTTTTGATCACACCTCATATAACCATTGCCCAGGCTGCCGGAGGTAACGCTTTCCACCTTCACCCACCACCCCTGCAAAAGCAGCCAGAGCTTCTGGTTTAAGCAGCTGTGCGCTGCCGTCCTTCAGGATTTGGGCATTGCTCCCTCACGCTGCTGCGACTCCGCACCCAATGCCGCCTGTCCTCACTTCCCCTCCTTCTCACCTCCCTCACTCCCTGCCCCCCTCCTGGCAAAGCTCTGATCCTGGTGTCCCCACTTTCCTCACCAGGACCTTCCTTGTCACCACTCCAGCATCCCACAGCAGCTCCTTAGTCGCAGCTCTGTCACAGCACTGGGGTGACTCTTTTCTTTTTTCATTCATTGATGTCCCTCCTCAGGGTAGAATAGGAGAATCTGTCTTACCCATCTCAGTGGCTGCAGACACTCTGGAGCTTGGCACCAAGCAGACACTGGGCTAATGCTGGGATGGAAGGGCCCTGGGAACTGATTAGTGGGCCGGCGACTGCCCCAGGTCCAGGATGTCTGCACGTGGCTGGAAGGGCTGTGTCCTGAGCTGCAGGTGCCTTGAAGGCGCTCTCATGTCTAAGAAAAACCCTTGGGTAACAGGTGCTTTTATTTATTCTTTTACAGCAGGGTATCAGTGCAGTCAATCATTCACTCATTCATAAGTGGTGGTCTGGCTCTGTCGCCCAGGCTGGCCTCCAGATGCTGTGCTCAAGTGATCCACCTCAGTCCCCTGAGAAGCTGGGGCTACAGGTGTGGGCCTCTTTGCCCAGCTAAATGCTCTTTGCTCCCTCTCTCTCTCTCCCTCTCTCTCTCTCTCTCTCTCTCGCTCGCTCGCTCGCTGGGGATGGAACCCAATGTGCTAAGCACATTGTCTCAATCACTCTTCTTGTGGCTGAGACACAATCCCCAACACCCACGACTCGACTGCAAAGGAGGAGAGGTTTATTTTGGCTCACAGTGTGTAGAGGCTTCAGTCCATAATCTGCTGGCTCCAGGGCAGGGCAGCATGGCAGAGGGGTCTGGCAGAGGAGAAAGAGCTCACGGTAAGGTGGTGGGAAGCAAAGAGAGAGTGAAGGGAGAAGGGAGGAAATAAACCCTTCTAGGCCACGCCCTCCAGGGCCATGCCCCTTTCCAGGCCACGCCCCAACGATCCTCTCCTCCAACCAGACCCCACCTCCCAGCAGCATTAAACTCGTGGGCGCACGAATCCACTGGTGAGTATCTTCCCTCGTGGTCCAATTGCCTCCCAAGAGTTTCAGCACAAGAGGATTTGGGCTATTGCAATATAACTCACAGCACATAGGCTCTACCTCTGAGATACCCTGCAGCCCTAAAGCCTCCTTTGGATCAAGCACAAACACCAGCAGTCACTGGGAAGCAGTCCTGCAGTTGCATCTAGAAGCCAGCCACTGCTTGGGGCCGGGGATCATTTTGCTTCAGAGATTGTATTTGTTGTGTCACCAACAGCCACACTGTATTGGTGGCTTTTCTGGTGTGGCCTTGCCTGGAGCTGGTGGTTTGGAAACATTACATGCTTTACATGCATTACCTGCTGGTTTCTCTGGGTCACGGTGTGACTTATTCACCTACTAACAACTCTTTTTCAAATCAGACTCACCAATGGTATCCTCAAAATCTAGTATTTTTCTTGCTTCTCAAAGTTTAAGATTTATTTTCTCATTCTCCTTACATGACTAAAATTTTTTTCTATATAATTTTTGATTCTGGAAAAAAAAATCCTAGAAGCAGACATGGTGGCCCATTCCTATAATCCCAGCCCTCTAGAGGCTGAGGCAGGAGGATTACCAGGAGTTTAAGGCCATCCTGGGCTACATGGTGAGTTCAAGGCCAGCCTGGGCTGCATAGCAAGACCCTGAATCAAAAAATTTAAAAAACCAAACAGTCCTGGTAATGCGTTTTGAGCTGGGGATCAGTAATCTTTATGCCTAAGAAAGATTGCATTTGATTTTCCTAATGCGATGCCATTTGGGACAGGAGGGAGGTCCCTGTGAGATTTTAGTTGTCTGTCTGTGTGTTACAGTTGCAAAGCAGGGGTGAGAACAGATTTCCAGTGAATTGGTTCTGGGTGTGTAGTCACAAAAGTGCATGGATCATGTGGGGCGTGGTGGCACACACCTGTCATCCCAGCACTTGGGAGGCTGAGGCAAGAGCATCACTGCAAGTTCGAGGCCAACCTGGGGTACATAGTGAGTTCAAGGCCAGCTTGAACTACATAGCAAGATCCTGTCTGAAAAAAAGAGTGTGTGTGTGGATCACAGAGACCGAAACTCAGTTCTTTTGCCCCTGGTAGGCAGCAGGGCAGGGGTGCTTGTCACCATATGGAGACTGGCTTTGGGCAGAGAGGTGTGTGTTCCAGAGCCCCCACTTCTGTCATTCCTATCTGTCACCTCAGCCAAGTCACCTGCCCATTTTAAGCCTAAATATCTGCACTTGTTATGAGGATAACATTACCACTCCTATTTACCCACCTGGGTTTTGGGGTCAGGGATGGTGTTTTCAGTGTTTGTCTTTTTGTTTTTTGAGACAGGGTCTCACTGTGTAGCCCAGGCTGGCCTCAAACTTGCAGTGATCCTCCTGCCTCAGCCTCGTAAGTGCTGGGATGACAGGCGTGGGCCACCAATCCTTGCCAAGAGATAGTGTTTATAATGTGAGTTGTTGTTGCTGTCATCCCTCTTCCTATATGAGTAACACCAGCTTCCAGGGGTGTGTGGGTTGTGTGTGTGCATTGTCAGCCACGGTGCCATGTGCTGGAGCTACAGGAAAAAAGCATCACTTTTGCCCCCAATTTTGTGTGATCTGGGGTGTGGAGCAGATCAGCAGATGCCATGGTGCAGCAGTGCTGCATTAGATGCCCCAGGAAGGGGCAGGAGGGATGGGTGGGTCAGAGAGGGGCTGGGAGCCATGGGGACAGACCCCCTGAAGCAGGCAACGGAGCTCAGGTCAGGGGATGCCCAGGTCTCTGGGCAGAGCACAGAGTAGGGACACTTTTGGCCCAGGGACAGCATGTGCAGGGGACAGGGGCCAGCAGCGTGAGGGGTGGGGCAAGGCCAGGACACAGCTGCCCAGGAGCATGAGTCTGTCCTATCTGGAGGTCCAGGACACTGGGGCGGGGGCTGCTGAGTTGAACCGATTTGGCTGAGAGGTAACTCGTTCATGGCCCTCAGGCAACACTGAGGGTGAGGGGTCAGTCTAGGGGCACAGGAAGCAAAAAGCTGGAAACTCTTGGCCCAAGGCAGGGACAGTGGGGACTGGGAGTCATCAGACAGGGTGGCCTGGTGGTTCCTGGTGACCCCAGAGAAGTGCAGGGGCCTCGGCTCAAGGAAGACACACTGCCCTGAGAACACAGGAGCAGTGCCCTGGTAGGGACGCGCCAGGACATGCTGACGGCTGCGTGGAGATGGCCATGGACAGCCGAGGACACAGCTGGGGTGCCCAGGAGAGTCCTGGAGGGGTGAGGCTGGGCGGGGTGGGCTCCTTCATGTCGCAGCCCATCTCTGCCACAAAGGCTGAGCAACAAGAGACAGAGACACAGGGAGGAGGGAGGAGGGCAGATTCCCGGTTGAGCCAGAGAGGGTTTGGAGAACTCCGTGGAAAGAGAGGACAGAGGGGAAGGAGGAGGGAGTCTAAAGTGTGGAGTTTGGATGTGGTCAGACCTCACAGATGCTGACAAGGGGACAAAATGTGACCAGACGGTTTGTCCATGAACTGTCCTGGCGAGAGAGGACAGAGGCAGCGCTGGCTACTGATGAGGTACAGGTGCTTCTGGGGAGAGGGCAGGAGCAAGGTCACAGGGGGCTGGCAAAGACTGCAGAGGCTGAGCTGAGTGTAGGGATGCATGCCTGTGATCCCAGCACTCAGGAGTCTGAGGCAGGAGGATCATCATGAGCTCAAGGCCAGCCTGGGCTACCTAGTGAGACACTGTCTCAAAAATCGAAACGAAAACAACTGTGAAGACACGAACTCACATCTATGTTGGGGACAGGGGAATGAAGAAAGATCATGCTGGGGCTTGGAATTCAGAGTAAAAGTGGATGTACTGTGGGCTGCATCCCTGATGAAGGGGAGGAGGACAGGATTCAGAGCACGGTCCTATAAAGGATGGAGCCAGGTTAGCATGCGGGTAAGGAGAGCTGTCAGATGATGACAGGGATCAGGGGATAAAAGGGCAGGACAGGGGATAGCACCCGAAGAAGGAGGAGTCACAGCTTGCCCAGGCCCCAAGGAGGCCGAGGGTGTGTCCCCCTCCAGCTGGGAGCCACACTCCCAGGCTCTGCAGCCACACTCAGAATCACTGATTCAGCAGGCTCCAGAGAAAGGCAAGGCCGACAGTGGCAGCAGCAGCCAGGGTCCAGGCAGAGGCTGCAGGGAGAGGGGTGTTCACTTAAAACAGAGCTAGTTCCCAGAGACACAGTGGAAGGCTGAGGAGGTCCCTGCCAGATGAGGAAAGAATTTAGGTTACATTTAAACATAACAACTTGGCTTTAAAAAAAAAATTACATGGAGGTTCCACCGCCTGCCTCGAAAGCACAAGGTTCTGAGTTCAATCCCCAGCACCAAAAAAAAAAAAAAAAAAATTAAATTGAGCTGGGTGTGGAGGCACACTCCTGTAATCCCAGCACTTGGGAGGCTGATGCAGGAGGATTGCTGCCAGTTCAAGGCCAGCCTGGGCTTCATGAGTTCAAGGCCAGCCTGGGCTTCATAGTGAGTTGAAGTTCAGCCTGAACTACATAGTGAGGCCCTGTCTCAAAATACAAACAAACAAACAAAACAGAAACAGCTTATGCTAGGTGGTTATTATTTTTTTTTTTTTTTGCTAGATGTTTTCTTATCCCAGCAAACCATTCTGGTGGCTGTTCATACATTCATAGCAGTTGCTTCTGAAATGGACTTGACCCAAGGCATCTCCTCTCTCTGTTAATGAATAATATTGCAGTTATGGCTGTTTTTACACTTTGATGCCTTTAAGACAAATTTTATAACCATATAGCAAGGGAGAGAGGCTGATGGAAGAGAAACTCCCAGAGAAGTCTGGGGAGATGTTTGTCAGTTGCAATCATTTTTCTCTAGGCTCTGGTCTCTTGTAAATTGGATTTATAAATTGCATATCTTACACTGATGATTTAGTAAAATGTACTGAACATGAAAACAGATCACATGTGTAAGAAACAAAATGGTTAAACAAATATTGTTCCTTAAATAACTTGGCTTTTACTAAACTGTACTAGCAATTTTGAAGGAAAAAATGCATTGATTTGCACTTGACTAAAGGCAATTTAGAACTGGAAGACGACCCCAAAATAGAAAGAATATCTACAGTAGAGCCCTATTGTTAATTTAGATTCCAGTTATTTACTTGGACTGCAGTGATGGCCTCTCTTATTCTATAAATAGTATAAACATTGCCAGTGCCATGTTTAACTCTTAAAGGAATGCATTCTTTGATATTTTAATGCATTAGTTTTATGAAAGCAAGAACCTCTGTAAAATGTGAATTCAGACTCCATCCATATATTTGCAAAAGTTACTGTTTTTTCCAAAAGATATTTAAAGTAGAGATTTTCTGCTAATGTAGACAGTCTTGTTTAGCCAGACCAGTTCGGACAGCTTCCCTAATTCAGTAGTTGCTAACCAGGTGAGGAAAGCTTTTTCCCAAGTGGAGAGAGTCCTGATAACCAACAGGTCACATTCTCTTTTCAGAAAAGCAGTGGTCAGGTAGAAGGGGTGCGAAGAGATGTTTAGGATGGAGAGGCAAAGTGGTGGTTTTTGTTTTGTTTTATGTTTTGAGACAGGGTCTCAATATGTAGCCGAGGCTGGCCTGGAACATGAGGCGATCCTCCTCCTGCCTCAGCTGTGAGCCACCACCTGTGAGTTTTATAATACAAAAATCATGCATTTTTTTCCTTTCTTTCTGTGGTGCCTGGTTCAATAATTATTAAGTGACTAAGGAAGATGTGGTCCTCTCTT